GCCATTCAACTGTTCAATCATTGCCTTGATTAGGTTCTTTCTTTTCATAAGAGGAGTACAAACCTACTTGTGACTGGATGGTTGTCAAATCACTGAACCTGGCCTTAACAGGCAACATAAAATTCCCAAATTCTAGGTTCCTACGGAGAAAAACAGTGTGAACTATTGTTCAAATTATCAAAATTGCACTGTGGAGAAATAGCTTTCACAGAGAATTGCTTTAAAGGCTTGCAGTCCATCATTCCTCTCAATTCGGCCCTTTGATCAAGCCTGGCCACAAGAGCTTTACACCATCATAGGTGGGACCCTCTCAGAATAGGTTCCCCTCAATTGGACTTCTGCCCGATGCCATCAAGCCACAGTGAAGAGCACTGTAGGGAAGCTACACAGGGTATTTTATTTCCAGTTTGAAAGCGTTGTAGGACTCTCCTAATGTGCAATACACCTTACCAAATGCTTACACGCACACTCAGAAAAAGCTGTGCTTCTTTTAAACCTATGTCTGTTTTGATCTTGTGGATACCATAAAGAACTTTTAAGTGTTTTCTCCTCTGCTCCTGTCCTCAGAGGTAAATTAGCTGCCGGCCTCTAGAAACTGGACCAAACAACTGGATTCATTTGTGAGCCCATGTTTATAGCCCTCACTTTCCCTTTGTCCTGATTCCATTGTTTCTTTTTGATGAATTTTTGTAGACTATTATTTCAAAAGGTTTTGGGACAAGCTGACAAATTTCTTTTTCTAACTTTTGTCATTCGCACTTCAATGCTGTTCTTGCCAACTGTTTGCTTAACCTATGTCCTCACCGACATAGAGCTTATTTTATGGATATTTTTCCCTGTAACTTTCAGGCATTGGACTCAAGGGTAATTTGCAAACAGAAAACCTTCAGCTATGGCTTCCCAGATGTTATGTGTATATATAAGAGAGAAGGTAAGATTGTTTGGTGTTAAGTAGTGTTATAGTATTTTTTCTAGTAAACAAAATACTTTCATAGTACATACTATGCCAGGCAGTTTTCTAAGTGCTTTAAAAATATTAACATTATTCATCTTTGTAATTAAAGATTAAATTATTAATCTTCATAAAAACCCTATTTATATTGCACCCATTGTATAGATAAGAAAACTGAGGCATCAGTGGTTAACTGCAAGTTAACCTTATCAGTTTTCTTATCTACACAATGGGTGCAATATAAATAGGGTTTTTATGAAGATTAATAATTTAACTAATGTTCATAATAGGAACAGGGTCTTTTGCCTGCAGAATCCAGTCTCTACCCCTAAGCTCTACTAGAGTCAGGACTTTGGGACCCTTAACAAACCACCTACTCTCCCTGTCAAATGGGAATAATGACACTCAATGCTGCTTCTATTTATTGAGATCATATGAGGCTCCATGGGAAGGTAGCGTCCGGCTGATTATGGGAACTCATATTTGCCCTCTTCAGCTAAAATCTGCATAGGAATCCAGATGAAAATTCACTGGAAATACAGGGCAAGGAAAATGAAATAACTCACCCAACCAAACACCATCCATAAAGACCAAATGCAGACTGCAGACTCTTCATCTTTTCATCTCATTCGGGTAGCCTAGGGATTTTGTAAAATGTTAAGAAACTAACTAAAATTTAGTTGCAACACATTTTAATATTTGGCATATCTGTTTGAAAAATGAAGTTGAGACATTAAACTATAATCAAATGTTCTGACAAACGTAGACAATTAGTTACTTTAACTTTAGAAAACACAGCATGAATTTAAGAAAATACCCAATGATTCCTTAAGTATTTCCAGTGACTGCAGGATCTGTCACTGTGCCTTAGTGTCAACAAGTAATATGGACATTTCAGAAACAGACCACTGTCTGCAGATTTGAAGCGAAAGCCAAGGAACATCTGTGACTCAGAAATCCCCTTATAGCAATCCACATAGCATAATACTTGTAGAGTCTGCAAAGCACTTTCAGAAATACATTTTCAGTAAATCCTCTCAACTTCATTAAATATTATTCCCATTTTACAGATAAATACAACAAAGTCCAAAAAGCCGTGATTTCCATCCACCCAGTATCTGCTCAGCATCTATTACATTTGGCAGCATGCTAAGGCTGTAGGCAGGACCCAGCCTGACAGAACAATAAGACAGCAGTGCGGTCACTGCTTTGAGAGGCACACACACAGGGTGCTGTGGGAGCAAGGAAGAGAAACTCTCTGAGCCTGGTCAGAGGGTGAGGGAAAGCTTTGTCAAGGCAGGCAGAAGTGGCCAAATGACCGAGTTTTTTAGGGGCACGTGACAGTATGTGAGAAGACAAGGTAAATCCAAAGGACAGCGTCTACTACAGCCTGACGGAGGCAATGTGGTGCCCCAGAGGAAGGACATTTACCCATAGGTTCCAATGATCTGAGGCCCTCCTAAGTGCTGTGTTTGTGCTGGGTAATGAGCCCACCATGAATCAGACAAACAAAGTCCTTGCCTCTCAATGAGTTTAAGGGTAGAAATAGATACGATGAAAACATAAATCAAGTTATGAAATAATTTCAGAGTTGTTACTACCGTGTTCCCCTGAAAATAAGACCCTGTCTTGTATTTCTTTTTTTTCAAGAAGACACACTAGGGCTTATTTTCAGGGAATGTCTTATTTTTATTAAGTATAACACAACAATCTACATTTATTCAAATACAGTTAAGTCATCTTCTTCTGAAACCTGACAGGGGGAGCCGACCTTGTTGGTGGGGCTGGCGCTAGTGATGTGTGAACTCCTTTTCCCCTAGCCGTTTGCACGTGCACAAGAGGATGCCTGCGACCACGGTTACCACACACACACTCACACAAGTGCGAATGGCTCAGAGAAAGGAGCTGTGGCAGATAAAAGGTATCCCAGTCTTCCTTACGCTCTGCACCGAAATGCATGGCCCATCACTAGGTCTTATTATCAGGGTAGGGCTTATATTTAACAAACACATAGGAATCTTGCTAGGGCTTATTTTGGGGGTAGGTCTTATTTTCGGGGAAACACAGTATAAAAGAAAGAGGTGGGACAGTGAGCTAGAGAAACAGGGAGAAGCAGCTTGGGAAGCAGTGGTCAAGGAATGCCAGAGTGCAGGCCTGAGAACAGGGGAAGAGAGAAGGGAACTTTCCGGGCAAACCGCAAGTAAAGGCCTTAACAAGTTAAAGCTGGCTGAACTCTAGAAACAGAAGGGAGACCAGCATAGGTGGAGCAGGAGGAAGGAGGATGCAGTGGGTGATGTAGGCAGGCTCCGATAAGCGATTTGGATGTTATTCTGAGTGCAATAACTCATGCAAGGGTTTTTAAGGAAAGTAATGTTTCATTTACATTTATAAAGGATGACTCTGGAAGCTCTGTGGACTATGAATTATTGGTGCTAGGAATAGGTGTAATACCAGTTCGGAGGCTACTACCTGAATCTAGGTGAGAGACTTAAGTAGTCTGGATGAGGATAGTGGCAGTGGAGGGAGAAATGGGTCTGAAATAGATTTTAGATGCAGAATTGACAGGATTTCTCAAATGACTGGATATGGAGATGTGGGTAAGGAGGGAATTAAGGATAGCTTCTAGCAAATGGCAAACACGCTGCTATGTCCTGAGATGGAATCTTTACAAGAGTT